GGGGCCGGGCCCTCCCTCTCCACTGGCCCAGGGCCCTATGAGCAGCGGGCAGCTCCAGCACTGGGTCAGGGGGCTCCTCCCCGCAATGCACCGAGCCCTCGGGGGCTTTCCCAGCTCCCTGCCCCCCGGCGGCCCCACCTGTGGGCGTTGGGCTGCAGCGGCACTGCCCCTGCCAGCATCAGCGGTGTCCGGGTCACAGGGGGGAGGGCAGCCCCATGGCTTGGGGGGGGCAAGCCTGGCGGCAGGGCGCTAACTCCAGCTCAGGCCGTGGTCTGCCCCTTCTGAGCAGGCCAGCAGCCTTTTATACCTTGGCTCCCCTCGGAGCATGCCCAGTAGGGCTGTGTGGGTGGGGCCCTCTCCGCCCCCGGCGCCAGGTGGTTTCCCTGGGCTTGAGTGCGGGGCGGGGCTGCCCGTCACACCCTGCTAGTCACCTTTGTATATACTTGTGATTATATCGAAGATTAACTAATTGCAGTTAGCTCACACAATGAATTGAAATGTATTAAATATTTTTGGATGTTTTTCTACATTTTCAATATTGATTTCAGTTACAACACAGAATACAGTGTTTACAATGCTTATTTTATATTATTATTTTTTCTACTAGGGGGCTGTGCCCCCTGCTCACTATGCTGGCCAACCCATCTCTTGGCTGGGGAGAGCCTGGGGCCAAGGACACCTGACCCCAGCTCTCCCCCCCCACCCATTGACACCCACCTCTCCATCACCAGGGAGGTCCCCGGCTCTTCCCCCTGCCACCAGAGATGGCCCAGCCCTGAGGCCGCCCCAACTGCTCTTGGGTCCTCCACCTGCTCCTGGCACTATGCCCCTTCTAGCCTCTGGCCTGCCCCGGCCCTGCTCCTCCCCCCAGCCACTAGGGTTGCCAGGTGTCTAGTATTGAACTGAACAGTCCGTTATTTTTGCCTCCTGTCCGGTAAAAAAATTCAGAAAATACTGGACACCTAAAATGCCTGGTACTTTCTGATTTTTTCCCGGCCAGGAGGCGAAAATCCCGGGCAGTCTGGCTCAATACAGAGGCAGCCTTGCAACCCAAATGCTTATCGGGGAGCTGGCCTGTCCAGCGCAGGGAGGCAAGATGGCGGGTGGCCGCTGGCCACCTGTTAGGGCCAAAAAGCCTCACCACATGGTTTTTAAAGGGGCCACGGTGTTTGGTTTTTTTTGCTCAACAAACTTTTTCTTGGCATGTTTTTGTTGTTCAGTATTTTTTCTGAAACCATCTTTAACCCTACAAAGGTGCTAGGCCAAAGCTGCACCCAGCTTTCCCCTGGGCCGCCGGGAGAGGCTGGGCCCAAGCTGTGCTGGGTCCACCTTTCTCTCCTGGCAGCCATGAAGAGTCAGGCCCAAGCTGCACTGGACTCGGCTCTCCCCCCGCCACTGGGAAGGGGACTGAGGGAGGGAAGGGCCGTAGGCAGCCTCTGCTCTCCATGTGGGCCTTGGGAAGGGCCAGGTTGGGAGTTGGTGGGGTTTGTTCCTGTGGATGCAAAGTGACGTGGTGACATCACTCTGTAGTCCCATAGGAAAAAATATTATATATTAGAGCGCGATTACGACTACTTGCACTGTAAAATTGATACATGAAAGAAGTGATACTTACATGGAATCTCTTTATCATGAAGCTTACAAATGTAGATTATTTGGTTACATAACTGCATTCGAAACAAAACAATGTAAAACTATCGCTCCTACAAGTTTACTCAGTCCTGCTTCTTGTTCTACCAATTGTAGAACAAACATGTTTGTCCACACAGGTGGGAAATCCTGCTGCCTGCTTATTATTTACAATGTCACTAGAAAGGGAGAACAGGCCTTCACATGGCATTTTTATCGCCCACGTTGCAAGGTATTTACTACCAGATCTGACAAACATTGTATGCCCTGTCATGCTTCGGCTGTCATTCCAGAGGACATGCTTCCATGCTGATGATGCTCATTATGAAACAAATGCATTAATTTAACTTGTGAGTGAGCTCCTTGTACGTCTCCTGCTCTGGTTTGCCCTCATTCTACCATGTTGTTCATATTAGAGCAGTTTCAGATGATGAGCCAGCACCTGGCATTGCCCACTGTGGGCAGACAGGAGGACACTGGGCTAGATGAACCTTGGTCTGACCCAGCCTTGCCGTTCGTATTCACGAATGCTCTCACAGTGGGTTTGAGCAAACACAAAGATAGCACTCCGATAAGTTTGATCATAGAGATCCCCTTGAGACTATCACCCCCAGTGTACTGGTCATACCACTGAGCCAGCCCTACCTGCCTTCTGGAGCATCCCACCATCCTGCCTTGCTGGGCCAGAAGCTCTGGTCTCCCCCAGCCAAGAGTTGGGGTAACATTCCCCCCGCCTCCCCTCAGCAGACTATCACAGCTTAGCTCTGGGAGAGTTCAGTTACAGGGCCTTGACCAGGAACACAGCCCTCATAAGGGACCAAAACCAGATCATTCCATCTTACGCTGTATAAAAGTTTTACACAGAGAAAGCTCATGAGGTTCACTCTCTTTATCAATGAAAGGGAGATACGCACAGCTGTGCCCTTCCTCCCCATAACAATTATTTACACAGGGTTTGATAATAAACAAAAGTATTTTTATTAAGTTTGCAAAGTAGGAGTTAGAACATAACATAAGAGCGGCCGTACTGGGTCAGACCAAAGGTCCATCTAGCCCAGTAGCCTGTCTGCTGAAAGTGGCCAGCACCAGGTGCCCCAGAAAAGGTGGACTGAAGACAATGATCAAGCTATTTGTCTCCTGACATCCTTCTCCAGCCTCTGACAAACAGAGGCCAGGGACACCATTTCTACCCCCTGGCCAATAGCCTTTTATGGACCTAATCTCCATGAAATTATCTAGCTTCTCTTTAACCTCTGTTATAGTCCTAGCCTTCACAGCCTCCTCTGGCAAGGAGTTTCACAGGTTGACTACACGCTGTGTGAAGAAGAACTTTCTTTTATTAGTTTAAACCTGCTACCCATTAATTTCATTTGGAATTAAGTGATCGCAAGTCAAAAAAAAGAGATCAAAATATGTTACTAATCTAAAATAAACACACTCACGAATCATACTACACTAAGGCTACATCTACAATGTGAAGCCATTTCTGGTATCCCAAAATAGCTATTCTACTTTTTAAGAGCAAGCCCATTATATCGAAATCTAATGGGATCACTATTCCAACATTCCTGTAAACTTCATTGCATGAGGGTTAAGAGACGTTTTGGAATAGCGCTTTATTTTGAAATAACCTCAAAATAAGTTACGCGATAGAGCAAATTGTGTAGCACAAATTGCGTAGCTTATTTCGAGGTAAAGGTGCTGTGTAGATGTACCCTAAGAGAGATCCTTACAGATCATAATTCTCACCGTAGTCCTTATTTCTGTTAAAATCCTTCAAAACAAGAAACAGGCATCATTATCTCCAGCAACTAATAACTAAATTTGTTTGAGTTAACAAGAAGTAGGACACGGTGGACTTGTAAGACATAAACTTTTACATTGCTTGAGTTTTAAATGAAGGTTTTTTGTAAAATGTAAGTTCAGCTTTCATGATAAAGTGATTGTACCACAGTACTTGTATGAGGGGAACTGGATTTTGGTTTTTTTAGAGCACAAATGTTTGTAATAAATAAAATGTGCACTGTACATTTTGTAGTCTATTTTAATTGAAATCGGTATATTTGAAAATGTAGAAAACATACACATATTTTTAAAATAAATGCCATTCTATTGTTTAACATAACAATGAGTTGTGCAATCGCAATTTTTAATCATGATTAAATGCTTTAATCACTTGATAGCCCTAAAAACTCTTAGCATGTGTGTATGAATGTACGTGTCCAAAGCATTTACAAATATTGACTGAACAATGCTTTCCAGTCCCCAGTAAGGCTACAGAAGGAACACTTCAGACACCACTAAATAGCAGCAACATCTGGGGTGGAGTACAGCAACTGTTTAACAGCACACAACACAATAGCAGAGTATAGCGTGGGAAGTGAAAGAGAATCATGATCCAGCTGAAAGTTTAGGAAAGAATATTATTGTTAGAGCTGGACTGTGACACAGACATGCGAGTGGTTAGTATTTACATCTTGTACAAAAGAGCACCATCAAGGACAGAATGTAGGGTCCTCGATTCTTTGCTGGCCAGCAAGCATAGCAAGCCCTGTCTTTGTGCAGCAGCTTGGCTTTACTCTGAGCTCTCTCCGCTAAGTAGTGACTAGAACCAGCAATACTGAGATTTTAAGCCATGGCAGGATTATGGCAGATGGTGTGATGGTTGCTGGCACCAAAAACTGGAGCTTGGATTCTCCCCCTCCCACAATGAGTGTTTAGAATGCTGGATATGGGTTGCAGCTTTTCCTCCCCAAGTGAGTATTTAGGGCACTGGGTCCGCAGTGAGTGTTTAGGGCTCTCACAACACATGTGTATTGGATCCCAGCTCTTTCACTACCATCACACCCTGGGTGAAAGTGTTTAACAGTCAGCAAAAGAAATTATGGGTTGAACATAGAGGCTGTGTCTAGACTGGCAAGTTTTTCCACAAAAGCATCTGCTTTTGCGGAAAAACTTGCCAGCTGTCTACACTGGCCGCTTGAATTTCCGCAAAAGCACTGACGATCTCATGTAAGATTGTCAGTGCTTTTGCGGAAATACTATGCTGCTCCCGTTCGAGCAAAAGTCTTTTTCCGAAAGACTTTTGTGCAAAAGGGCCAGTGTAGACAGCAGAGATTTCTTTTCCGCAAAAAAGCCCCGATGGTGAAAATGGCGATTGGGGCTTTTTTTGCGGAAAAGCACATCTAGATTGGCCACGGACGCTTTTCCGCAAAAAGTGCTTTTTCGGAAAAGCGTTCTGCCAATCTAGATGCTCTTTTCCAAAAATGCTTTTAACCGAAAACTTTTCCGTTAAAAGCATTTCCGGAAAATCATGCCAGTGTAGACATAGCCAGACAGTCTTCATCAGCTTCCCCCCCCTTTTTTTGCAGGGCTCTGAAGTCTGAAGGGGTTTGTGAATCAGTGCTCTTTGGGCTTCCCTTCATCATTAAACCTACGAGTTGTTGGAAGCTAGATTGGGATGAACTGGAGACGAACCAGCACAACTTCCATGCTCTGTGTCACAGCTTGCTGGTGAGTACTTTCAAGCTGCGGTCTGGATTGCTCTGGGGAAGAAGCGTTCAGGCTGCTCCACGAAAGTGGTCCCATAGACCTGCAGCTTCTGGTTTTAGTCCACAGCTGCACCTGTGAATTCTTCTACCAGATGCATCGAAACTATTTGACAGCAGATGGCCAGAGATAAGACACAAATATTTTAACATGGGTGTGACGGACCGGGCCGTGTCTGGGCACAACTGAGGGTGTCAGCTCAGGGCGAATTGCTCAAATCCAGGGCTCCTTACAGCCCCCAGACTGGTGACCTCTCCAAACAGGCCACAAACCACTCCCACAGAGCGCTTCAGCAGCCTGCCTGAAGCCTCATGAGCAAAACCCCTCCGACGCCCCAGCAATACCCGTGCCCCAGATGGCCCCTGGCCTATACACAGGTGGGGGGTCCTAGCACCCAATCCCACCTACCCCGAACAAGTTCTGTCCGGTTCCAAGAAACCAGCCACAGATCCCTGGTCAATTTACCCTCTGGACCTTACCCATAAATCACGCTGGGCCAATCCTTTAGAATCTATATCTAAAGGTTTATTATCACAAGAAAGAAAAGCATGAGAGTAAGGTTGTTAAAGAATATTACGTTACATGCACTGAATCTCCCAGTCCTCGGTGCAGGCTCTAGCAGAGATGTTACAGCTGCTGGTTTAAAAGTTCTTATTGCACATCCTAGCATCAGGATGGGTTCACAGGTCTTCCGGGCTCTTCAATCCCTGCAATGCTGCCTCTGGGATGAAGTGCTGAGCTGAGAGCAAAATGGCATCGACCACATGGCCTCTTTATACCCCCTTCCTGGCCTCTTCTGGTCTCAGCCGGTCACCTGGTCCTCAGCCTCTCTCTGCTGGCAGCTCTTAGGTCTCCGCCCTCATGCTTTAGGTGTGTCCTTGGCCCATCAAGTGCCATTGTTCCACAGGGCTTCGCTAATCAGCCTGTCCATAGCAATGCTTAACCACATTCGGAGAAATATTCAGCTTCCACACAGATTACAGATTACTACCTACACACACAAACATTATACATTCCATAAATAGCGTACACAGGCTCAGCAAACAACAAGCTCCCATTCAATACCCCACATGGCCCCCTACTATATCATTGTTGGGGCCAGCACCCCCGCCTATGGGTGCAGCCATGATCCGGCTGCTTCCCTCAAAGTCCAGTAACGTGACAATGGGAGAAGAGCATAATTTAAGAAAAGGGGAAAAGGGATCCAGGCACCCATTCTTGTGACCTCAATAGTATGCAAGGATTTAGAACAAATTATGAAGAAACAAATATTTAAAGATATGGAAGGAAATGGAAAATAGGATGAAATGCAACATGAGTCTCCCAAAGGTAGGTCATAGACTCACAGAAGATTAGGGATGGAAGAGACCTCATGAGTCATCAAGGCTAATCCCCTGCACAAAGCAGGACCAATCCTAACTAAATCATCCCAGCCAGGGACTTAAAAACCTCTAGGAGTGGAGATTCTACCACCTCCCTAGGTAACCCATCCCAGTGCTTCCCCACCCTCCTAGGGTATGTCTAGACTACAGGGTTTTGTCGACAGAAGTTTTGTTGACAGATACTGTCGACAAAGCTTCTGTCGACAAAGAGCGTCTACACTACATTCAGTTCTGTCGACAAAGCAAGCTGCTTTGTCGACATAACAGTGTGGACGCAAAGGACAGTTTAGATGCAATAATGCCTTCTGTCGACAGAACTCTGTCAAAAAAAGGTGTTATTCCTCGTAAAATGAGGTTTACCAGTGTCGACAAAACTGCTGAGTTCTGTCGACGTTATGTTGACAGATTAGTTTTGTCGACAAGAGTCCACTTTTGTTGACAAAACCCTGTAGTCTAGACACACTCCTAGTGAAATAGTTTTTCCTCATCTCCAACCTAGACCTCCCCCACTGTAACTTGAAACCATTGCTCCGCGTTCTGTCATCTGCCACCACTGAGAACAGCCTCTTTACATCCTCTTTGGAACCCCATTCAGGGAGTTGAAGGCTGCTATCAAATCCTCCCTCATTCTTCTCTTCTGTAGACTAAACAAGCCCAAATTCTTCAGCCTGTCCTCGTAGGTCATTCGCTCCAGCCCCCAAATCATTTCTGTTGCTCTCTGCTGGACTTTCTCCAAATTATCCACATCCTTTCTATAGGTGGAGACTGGATGCAAAACTCCAGATGTGGTCTCACCAGTGCCGAATAGAGAATAATCATTTCCCCCAATCTTCTGACAATACTCCTCCTAATGCACCCTAATGTGCCGTTAACTTTCTTGGCTACAAGGGCGCACTATTGACTCAAATCCAGCTTCTCGTCCACTGTAACCCCCAGGGCCTTTTCTGCAGAACTGTTGCTTAGAGAGTTGATTCCCAGCCTGTAGTGGGGTTTAAGATTCTCCTGTCCCAAGGGCAGAACTCTGCATTTGTCCTTGTTGAACTTCATCAGATTTCTTATGGCCCAATCCTCTAATCTGTCTAGGTCACTCTGGACCCTATCCCTGCCCTCCAGCGTATCTACCTCTCCCCCTAGTTTAGTGTCATCTGCAAACTTGCTAAGGGTGCAATCCATCCCCTCAGCCAGATCATGAAGATGTTGAATAAAAATGACCCCAGGACCGACACTTGGGGCACTCCGCTTGATACTGGCTGCCAGCTAGACCTCAAACTGTTGATCACTACCCATTGAACCCAATGATCTCTTCATTTTATAATCCATTAATCCAAGCCAGATTTCTTTTACTTGATAGCAAGAGTACTGTGGGAGACTATAACAAAAGCTTTGCTAAAGTCAAGGTCTATCACATCTACTGCTTTCTGCATATCTACAGAGCCAGTTACCTCATCATAGAAGGCAATCAGGCTGGTCAGGCAGAATTTGCCCTTGATGAATCCATGCTGTCTGCTCCTGATCCCCTTCCTCTCCTCCAAGTGTTTCAAAATGGGTTCCTGTTCCATGATTATCACAGGGACTGAGGTGAGGCTGACAGGTCTGCAGTTGCCTAGATCCTCCTCCTTCCCCTTTTTAAAGTTGGGCACTACATTTGCCTTTTTCCAGTTGTCCAAGACCTCCTCCCCCAATTGCCATGTGATTGCAGAGCCATTACCTTTGAAAACTCATCAGCCTACTCCCTCAGCACCCGCGGATGCATTAGAGCCCACCCCATGGACTTGTGCATGTCCAGTTTTTCTGAATAGTCCTTAACCCCGTGGTCACCAACCATTCAATCATGATCGACTGGTCGATCGCAGGGGCACTGCCAGTCGATCGTGAGGCAGTGTTCCCAGCCCTCCTTCTTTGTTCCCTCCACTCCCAACAAGGAGCCCACACTGGTGCTACAGACTCCTGAAAAAATAGAGCTAGCTCCAGCTTCCTGCAGCATGGGGGAGGGGGAGAGTCCCACAGCTCCGTGCCACATCCAGAGCCAGATCTGGTGCAGAGCCTCAGGACTTCCACCCATGCTGCAGGAAGGAAGGAAGGCAGCACAGGGAAGGAAGGGAAGACAAGAAACCACATGCTCCTCCCCAACCCACAACAGCACACACTTTCTTGTCTTCCCTTCCTTCCCCGTGCTCCGGGAAGGCGGGGAGGGAGGTGGGGGGGGAAGGCATTAAGATGATGGCACAGGATCTGGAACAGCTGGAATTCTTAAAGGAGCTGCACATGCACTTCTTCCAGCGCTGCCTGCATATCCTGCCCCAGACAAGTTGCTCCTGCTCCCTCTCCCCTGGCCAGACCCCCACCAGCACCCCGCTCCTGCCCCCTTTCCCTGGCCAGACCCCCACCAGCACCCTTCTCCTGGCCAGATACATACCCCCAGCTTCCTCCTGTACCCTACTTTCCACCCAGATTCTGCACCCCCATCTCTATCCCACTCATTAGCAGCCCTGTTCCACACAGTGGAGCCCCCATTTTTGGCCCCACCTCAGAGCATAAAGGGGTCCACAAAATCCACTAACCCTGGAACCCCAAAAGAGTTAATCTGGCCTGAGGCCCTGAACCTCAGTCCTGCCTACCCTCCATGGGGCTGGAGTGCCAGGAGAGTGAAGTGTATCAGTTGGGACCACATCAGTGAGACTTGGGGGGCTTGGAGGGGTTGGTTTTTTGCATCTCACTTGTGTGGTCCCTGACTGATTTTTTTGTGGGTCAGTGGCCCCTGACCCAAAACAGGTTTCCTGCCCTCCCATAAATAAAGACAATACCAAAAACTTTTGTGTTGGATATAATGTTTATTTTAAAATGAAGCCTGGCCAACAAGCCCCCAGTTGGGGCCAAGCCCCCATCTGGCCGCAGCATCCGAACACTCCAGCACCCCCCCACAGACTTCAACCCTGAGCCCATCATACACCTGAAACCCCTGCTGTGAGCCCCTCACAGCCCCAGATTCCTGCACCCCCATATCCCCAGTCTTCTGCCACCTCACTTCTGCACCATCCACACACTGCAAACCTGTGCCCTGAGCACATCATACTCTCAACCTGCCTGCCCTGAGCTCCTCATACACCCCAACCCAAACTCCTGCACCCCCAGCACCACAAGCCTGCAGCTTGCTCAGCTCTCCACCACCTGACCCCAACACTCTCCAGCCTGGAGTCCCCCTCTCTGAGCCAGCATCCCCTTCTCCACCACCTCCTGCTCCCAAATTCCCTCCCAGAGCTTGCACCCCTTCCCACACCCAAATCCCTCATTCCCACCCCAGAGTCCACCCCGCCTGTCTCAACCCAGTGCGAGTGAGTAAGGGCGGGGGTCAGCAAGGAGGGGAATGGAGAGGGGGGCCTCAGGGAAGAGGTGGCGTAGATCTTGGCTTGTCCTGACATTTAAAAAGTGACCTGGGGTGTAAAACGTTTGGAGACCACAGGGTTAACCTGTTCTTTCACTGCTGTCAAACTAACCTGATATCATAAATTGAATCTACTGCGTTTATCTGGTCTACCCAAGTGTCAGAAACCCACCCGAGACAGTGTCACACGGGACACAATG